ACAGGGAGGGTCAAACAGCAGCAAACAGGTGTAATCCACGGCAGACAAAAGAGTAATCCAAGAAACAAGCAATGGTCAGGGCAGGCAGCAAACAATCAGAAACGAGATAATAATCCAGGATCAAAAAACAAGGAAAAGCAAGAAAACAAGGAACACAGAAAACACAGGAACTAGGACTAAACAAAGGCTAAACAAAACTGAGCCATGAGTGTGTGTCGAACCAGGCTTTAAATAGGGTGAGACTGATGAGGAAACAAGACACAGGTGAATGCAATCAGAGATGATGAGTCCGGCAAAGGATTATGGTAAATGTAGTCTGGGATAGAGTGGCAAGAGTCAGAGGTGGAGTGCCCTCTGGTGGAGTTAATGGGCACTCCAGCTGGAGATTGTGACAAATGTTAACAAACTTAATGAAGTTTGTGCAAAAATGGACATGAGGCTATATCTCTGCAACACTTTAGTGGATTCTGACCAAACTTGGTATAGCATGACCGGAGGGCACACGAGTAGTTTCGGCACAGTGTCTGACCAGTTTGGCCAAAAATAACAAGTTTGGTCTCGTTAGATTCAGAATGGCACACTGAATTAAATGTTACCTAATTTTCCTATGTCAGCCTTTTTGAGTGTCGGCCATTTTGAGTTTTGTAGTAAAATGCTGTATCAACATACTGTATGTCTTTAACAGGGATCTCCAACCCTGTTCCTGAAGAGCTACCATACTGCAGAGTTCAGCTTCAACCCTAATCAAACACACCTGAACCAGCTATTCAAGGTATTCAGGGCAACTTAATTACAGACAGGTCTGTTGAAGCAGGGTTGGAAAACCCTTTACTGAGTAATTAAAGACAGCTCCTCAGTTCTTCATTTTTCCTCTTGTGCATGGCCCCTTAATTGCTGCTTGCAGCTATAATTTTTCTCAGTTTTTACATTTTCTTCCATTTATTGGTTTGAGGATCTTGATAAAAATGACACATAATGAAAACAATAGAATGTAATTATGATCAAATAAATGAAAATGGACTTTTATGAGGCAGCTCAAAAGTTTTCTGTTGAAATTTGATTCTGTGAACTCAACGAGAGCCGTTGCCCTGTTAGCAACATTTAATTGTCTGCGGCCTGTAAATTTGCCCAAAATGCAATCCACTCTTCTCCTCCTCCTCTTCATTGCAATTCTTCTTCCGAACATCAGCCATGGCCCTAAGCCAGAGTCTGATGAATTATTGAACACTTCAGTGGGGAAAAAAAGCCTGGCTTTGATTGATTGAAAAGTCTATGGGCAAAACAGAAGGGAGAGCCCGCCCTAGAAATATTGCCTTTCCTGCACAAAAAGAGGAATCAAAAACGACACACAGCCTTGAAGCATGAAACAGTGGGAATTTCAGAAGTTGTAGACAGAGTTGAGCCTAGTGCATTTATAAGAAGAGCAACAAAATGAAACCATTTACCATTGCCTGTCAAAATTATTTGACACCATGGAGCCTGAAGACACAACCTACAATGGATGGAAATGAAGTCAAATGAAAATACAGGAACATGCAAAGTGTGTGAAGCTTAAATGAATAATGTAACATACTCAGGTGATAATAGTCATGGCAGCTTCAATGAAGATTGAACTAGATTGTAAATTTAATACAGCAGAGGAAAGTATGCACCTGTGCTTTGCTGAATTTGTATCTATTTAAAATGAATAATTTGACACATCACAGTTGCTGTAAACATATTGTCAAGATATAATGTTGATGTTGACTTGACAAAGGGCGCTAAATTGCTAAGAGGTTGCTCGAGTGTTGAGGGTGATTGTGAGTGTTGCTTATGTATGCATGTATGTATGCATTTATAATAATAATAAGAAGAAGCAGAGGAAGACAAATCAGGGGTCTGTTACATAAACTGCTTAGATTAGTATTACATTTTTTCTTTAAGACTGGTCATAGCTTTTTTTTAAGCCAGTTGCATTAAATTTAACTTAGATTAATGGTCTAATTGAGCATGAAAAATAAGACTGATTATCCCTTGGCTAACTGCTAGTTGGTCGGACTAGTTCTTAAGAGACCGTCTTAACATAATAGCTGTGTTTATGCAACTGGCCCCAAATGTTTTTCCAGACGAATTCTTGGAAGAACACTAGGAAAATAGAGAAAATATTAAGATTAACATTTCATATGCTTGAAACTATGTACTCTTAAGATTTATGCTGTTTGTTAAATGATGAACATATTATGTTCTCATTGTGAAGCATCTCTACAATTCTTCACATAAACCTCTTACAAGAATACAGTCAAAATAGTGATTTGAAGACAGAAAAGCCACAGTATATCACTTATACCTCCTCCAAAGCACAGTCGATAAGACACATGTCGATGTATAGAAAAGCGTGTGAGTTTAGTTGAGGCCTTTCTAATGTCTGTGCTAATAAGATGAATGGAACGCCTCATACACCTTTAATGGCTAACAGATCTAATGAAATGGAAAGTTTTGTGAGGCAGCAATGTTTTCTGGGTAAGATGAGAGATAGAAAGCAGGACACAGACTTAGACTGCAAAGCAACAAGCAGTGAGCTTGAGATGTAATATGGATTTAAAGCGTTTGCTTAAGGCTCAAACCTGGTTAAGCAACTAATTCCTCATCTGAACTCCTATAGCCAGGGATAATAATTCCCACTCAAACGTCTTTCTCTGTTGGAAATCCCTTAAAGAAAGGGTATGGAAGATGAAAGAGGCAGATATGTAGGCAATTATATGTGGTATGTTCCTCTAGAAATGCTTCCTCAGAGTTCAGTCTAGATGATACAGTAGGATAGAGCAGGGATAACTAATGTGCAATAAATGTAAAATTGGCAGTAACCTAATGCACTTATCATGTATGCATGTATGTAAGTACATATGAAATTTAGGCCTCTTTTCAAAATATCAGACAGTTTCATTTATGTTAGATATAGAACAAAAGAAGAAACATGTTTTTAGACAGAGTTAAATTGTCTTTCTTAAAGGGGTAGTACAGCCAAAAATGTTTTGTAATTTACCCATGTGCTGTGTTTTAGGGCTGGGCTGACAATATAGATTACTCAGTTTTAATCAGACTTAATTTTGATGAACTGATTTTGATTAAATCCTAATTTAGATTTTTTAGTTTACGCTGTTTTCAGTTGATATGCATATGACTACATTTAATGCTAATTGCTAAAAATACATTTGACTTAACATTTTTTGATACCTGCCATCCAACAATCGCAATAAGCTTTGTTACTTGATAATAATCAATGTCTGCTTTCCAATTTTGTTAGTTTTATCACACAATTCCAACAATAAATCTAGTTTTTCCACCTACTTCAGTTCAAGCAACAGTGCAGAGCACATGTGAATAACACACAAGAACAACCGATATTGTTGCTTTTGACTGAAGATGCACATCTGATATATTATTTCACAATTTCGCTAATGTATTTGTTTGCATTTGTTTTAAAATCCAGTGTTTTTGTTTAGGGTAATACATCACTATTTGTGCTATCAGTTATTTGTCATTTCTACCTCATAGTCAACATGTTTTTTTTTTGTTTGTTTCTTTGTTTTTTTGTTTTTTAACAAAGGTGTTGTAAAATTCTGCTTAGATGTGTGCTTTCTGCATACATTATCTATGATACCACTGCACTTGAGCAAGATATTCTCCCTCAGTCTTCTGCTGAAACAACAGCTTAAACCGGATGTTTTGTAGGTCTTAAACAGCTGGTGTAAGCTGGAGGTGAGCGTGATTTGACCAAGTACAACATGTTCCTGGATCAACATCCTTGTTGATCCTGGAATATCATTCCAATCAACGAATCAGAGTTGAGAGATTATTTTCAGGAAATGTCAGTTTTAGGCTCACAATCAGGATTAGGTGCTTCTACACCCTTGTTAATCAGCTATCATTTCCCTCTGATTTTATAAATAAATTATGGGTAAGGTTAGGTTTAGGGGTGGGGATTGGGTTAAGTCTGTATTTGTTGACAGTAATGTTGATCCAGGAACATGTCTTACTTGGCAAAATCACGGCGACCTAAGCTGGATTAGTTGGCGTTCCAGTTGATGCTGGTTTAGCTGGGCAAAAAACCCTTCTGAAAAAAGCAAAAATCAGCTTGAAACCAGTTATAATCACTTTAGACTGGTTAAAACAGTTTATCCTAGAGTGGTCTACATTAAAGATGCTGTTTGGTCAAAATGACCCCCTGCTCTGACTATTGAGCATGTTTAACCAGGACAGTACCACATATTTACATACAAGAGTCGAGAATCTCAGCTACATATTGTGCTTCATTTTTTCTCGGTAAAGATCTTATTTGGCAGTAACAGTCTCTTGACAAAACTAGTGCAGTCTACTCTTAGAGAAAGATTACCAAACATTTTTAATCCTATGAGGATCTGACTACAGACAAAATAAACCATTTTGTAATCTGTTTGCAGCACACAGCTTTAAGTAAGCTTCTCCCAGCCAGCCTTTGAGTAGCATTTCACTCGTTCATTAAAGGATGTCTTTCATTAACAGATGTGTGATGTTCTGGGCAGGCAGGCTGCAGATATCTTTTGGGTTCAATCCCCGACCCAGTCTGGCACAACACCAAGTCACTCTAATCTGATTTACTCGCAAATATTCGCACAGCTCATTTGGACTTGGCACAGGTGAAGCAAGCATATATCAACTATTGTCTGGTTATTCATACTTACTGAAATGTAGCCTCAAATAAGAGACAACACATAACAGATGTCACCGTATTCATTATTTATTCAACAAAAAGAAGGACAGAATAAAGAAACGGTGTGGGAAAAATTAAGCAGTCCCTTACTGCTTCTAAAGACATTAAGACGGTAATTAGCAGGTGCTGCAAATCAAATGCACATAATTAGTAGATGATTAGGGATGTCTAATGTCCTTAAGTAATTGCAGACGTTTTGTGGTCTGCAGTGTTCAGGTGTGTGCTACTGTAACGCCTTACTAAGGATTAAAGTTAGACTGTAAGAAGAAAAAAAATCAGCAGAAAAATGGAAAAGCTAATGGTAATAATCTGTCAGGACATTATGTAAGTTTACCGACATTTCCTTTAACCCTAAAACACAACACTACACAATACATTGCAATGTGTAATTTAAAATATGGACAAAACACCTCAATACATTACATTATATATTATTAAAATTTTAAAACAGACTTTAAAACTGTGAATTGTTTTAAAACCAGTTAGGGTCAGTTTGATATGTTTAGAGTAGCAATGTGTGGTCATTATGCACCATCAGTGTATCACCACAAACACCACCCTTCAAGCACAGTGGTGGAGAATAGATGATTTAGGTATGTTTTGCACCCACAAGACCTGAACATCTTGCAGTCATCGAGTCAACCATGAACCTCTTTTATACTAAAGTATTCTAAAGACAAATGTGAGGCCACCTGTGACCACTATAGCTCAGCTGAAATTGGGTCGTATAACATGACACTGATCCCAATCTAACTTTGAATTGCTGAAAAAGGAAAAGATTCAAAGTGTTGCAATGGCTGAATCACAGTTTATAGCTCTGTCTCATTATAATGCTGTGGGGGTGCCTTAACACAGTTTACACTGCAAGCTGTTAACAGGGTGTTGCAACCTTCCAGAGAACTAATTCTTCCTTTATTAATTAATTTACTTAAAGGTGAAGTATGCAGTTTCAACACTACTAGTGTCACCTAGCAGAATTAGTCAAATAAAGCATATTTTCAGTCAACTGATAGCTTACCTGTGGAGAAGAAACTCAGTGGTAGCAGAGACAACATTGTATACATTTTTAAATCAAATGAACACCATTTCCATTGATTATTGTTCTGTATTGTCTGTATTAAAGGAATAGCTCACCTAAAAATGAAAATGTGTTGTTAATCTACTCACCCTCAGGCCATTTAAGATGCAGGTGACTGAATCCATGGTCCTTGGTGATTCATAAAATGGAAGAGAAGGGGTTCCATCACTTTGGGAGTAAAAAAAAAGCAGATACAGGAAACACAAAATGAATACCCCTGGCTCTTGACTGTCACGTGTATGTTCCTGTTTTCCTTATTTGGTATTTCCTGTTCCTGTCCTCGTTGTGTGAATTTGTATCCAGCTGTGTTTGATTAATTAGTTCATTTGCTCCCAGGTGTGTACCATTGGGTGTCTGTGTATTTATAGTGTGTTCTGTCCCTTGTTTCCCGTCCGCTGTTAAATGTCATTTATAAGTTCCAGTATTTGTATCCCTTTGTTTATTGAATTAAATTCTAGTTCACGTGTTCTCCAGCGTCTCCTCATTCCTACCTCTTGAAGCGTGACTGAACAGCGGACCAAAACTGAAAGTAAGCCGCGCCTTTTTGCTCGTTTTTTTCCCGTTTTTAAAAGTGTTTTGTTTTCCCGTTAGTTTCTCCCCGCTCATATGGAGGAACGAGCGAGGTTCATCATACCCGAGTCAGGCTCGCCGGCTGCCACAACGGCAAGCCCGCCGGCCGTTCCTGTGTCAAGCCCGCCGGCCACTCCAAAGTCAAGCCCGTCGGTCGTGGCTCACTCCCGCCCAGAGCTCGCGCCAGTGTCGGCTCCAGCCCCAGAGCTTGCGCCGGCCGTTCCTCAGTCAAGTCCGCAGGCCGCGGCACTCTCCAGTGTCGGCTCCAGCCCCAGAGCTTGCTCCAGTGTCGGCTCCAGCCCCAGAGCTTGCTCCGGTGTCGGCTCCAGCCCCAGAGCTTGCTCCGGTGTCGGCTGCAGCCCCAGAGCTCGCTCCAGTGCCAGCTCCTTGAAAGCGCCTTGCTGTGCCTGCTCCTCCAGAGCGCCCTTCAGTGCCAGCACCTCATAAGCACTTCCCAGATCCCCAGTTCAGCCCCGGAGGGCTCCTGACCCCCAGTTAAGCCCAGTGAGGGCTCCTGATTCCTCGTTTAGCCCAGGAAGGGCTCCAGATCCCCAGTTAAGCCCAGGGAGGGCTCCAGTTCCTGAGTATAGCCTGCGGAGGGCTTCTGTTCCCGAATTTAGCCCAGAGAGGGTTCCGGTCCCCGAGTTTTGCCCAGCCATGGCCCAGTAAAGGCTCCAGTCCCCGAGTTTAGCCCAGTGAGGGCTACTGTCTCCGCGCTTAGTCCCTGAATCTCCTCCCGAGCGCCCTCAAGTGCCAGCTCCTCCAGAGCGCCCCCCAGAAGGGGGGGGTCCAGAGCGCCCACCCATGGATCCTTGAGTTCCCTGCTCCGCCCTGGCTTCCTGATCCGCCCTGGAGGCTCTCCTTGTCGCCGCCCTTTTCCAGTCCTGCGCCCGCCCCCCCTCCCCGATGGTACTGTTACGGCGTGAGACGCGCTGTCCGGGAGGCATGACATTGGCGATATATTGAGGTCTTATGAAGCAAAACGATCTGAGCAAGAAACTGTACATTGACATCATAATTATTATCTGCAATCTATAGCCTTAACATAAATAAAATGTTTAAGTCTATAATGTTTTAACAAGTATCCCCTTTTGTCACAGGCAAATTGACAGTACTTACATTTCGAGATCATCTTTTTTTTTTTTTTTTAGCTCAGAATTGATCTTCTTGGAATCTGTAGAGTGACAAAAATGTACATTAGATTTTTTTTTTTTTAACCAGCTGATAAGGCAAAGGAGGCATGGTTCAGCGAGGTCTGCAGCGGGAGAGAAACGCTCTCTGGACTCCACCAGGATCCAATCGCTTGTGGGACTCCACCAGGAACACCATCAGGCGCTGCTGGACATGTCGGACGACCAGGAGTGTAGTTTCCATGCCCTTATCCAGGCGCAACAGGAAGACCGTGAGCTGTTCCAGAGCTGGATAGACTGGGAGGTTCTGGCAGGAGGGGCACCACCACCGAACCCAGCCACACCTACTCCTGTGCCTCTGAATAAGATGGGGCGACAGGATGACCCCATGGCCTTCATCAATCTCTTTCAGAAATCAGTCGAGGCATGTGGGAGGCCACGAGACCACTTGTTGGTGCGCTTCAATCCACTGCTCTCAGGAGAGGCACAAGTGGCAGCCCAGCAATTTCCCGGGCAGAACCTCCTGGTCTTTGACGGCCTGAAAAGAGCCATCCTGCAGTGGGTCGGCCTGAGCCCAGAGCAACATTGCAAGCGCTTCCAGTCGCTGGATCTGGGCGAGAGCGGCCGGCCCTTCGTGATGGCTCAAAAGCTCCGGGACGCATGTCGCAAATGGCTGTTGGCTGGGGGAAGCGACGTCAAGCAGATAGTCGACTGTGTGGTACTGGAGTTTATGTCCCATCTCCTGAGAAATATCCTCCTGAGTCTCCCACTGGCCAGAGAGAACCTCCCAAGGGGGCGGGGCTAGCCAGTGCTGGCACCTCATCAGCTCCTTTCCCCCTGCTCTCTCCACGTCAGTCCCTTGACCCACTTCCTGCCATTAGGGCGGCGGGGAGGTCTGGACTGGCCTGTTGGTGTTGTGTGGACCCGAGGCATTCTATTGACAGGTATCCAGCGATGGAGGTGGGGCCACTAATTCGGATCCTGGACACCCCGCAGGCTGCCCCCGATCAAGTTGGCTTATACAAAATACCTGTGAGTATTAAGGGGAGTACTTATCAGGCTTTGGTGGATTCAGGATGTAATCAGACCTTGATCCATCAAAGCCTGATTCAAACCGAGGCATTGGATAAAAGCCACATGGTTCAGGTACAGTGTGTGCACAGGGATGTGGTGAAATATCTGTCCGTGTCCGCAGTTATTCAATTTCAGGGACAAAATCATAGTGTAGAGGTTGCAGTTAACCCGCACCTCCGACATCTGCTAATTTTGCAAACAAATTGGCCCGCGTTTAGTGAATTATTTGGGTTTTTATGTGTGGATGTCTCTTGTGGGTAGACACAGCATGGGAGGGGGGCAGTCGCACAGGTGGAAAAGCCTGAACCGGGATCCCTGGGACCTGAGCAAGGGGAACGGAGCGTTATTGAGAGGCTGAGGATCATAGAGCGCAATGATTTTCCCCTGGAACAGTCTCAGGATGAGACATTAAACCATGTTTTTGAACAGGTCCAGTCCATCGACAGTCAACCTCTCCAACCTGCTCATCTGGTCTCCTATCCATATTTTGCAATTTTAAAAGCTAGGTTGTATAGAGTGACACAAAACACAGACAAAACAAGATACAACCCAATTATTAGTACCACAAAGCCGTCTGGAAATCCTATGGCAAGACATTTAGGACAGGAAACAACACTAAATCATCTCATGACCCAATTATTTTGGCTGGGCATTTACGAGAATGTGCGCAGATGGTACACGGCTTGTCGTGAATGTCAGCTGGTAAATCCACTGGCCTCCCCAAAATCGCCTTAGCACCCTCTTTCTCTAATTCAGGTCCCCTTTCAAAAGAATTGGTATGGACCTCATCGGGCCATTAGAACGATCTGTACGTGGGCATCGTTTTGCATTAGTGATGGTGGACATACAACATGATACCCAGAGGCAGTGGCGCTCCGCAAAAAAATTTAGCAGATGCACATTCGTTTGATTTCCCAAGTGGGAATCACGAAAGAGATTCTCACTGATCAAGGCACAGCATTTATGGCACGAATATTACGCAAACTTTATGAATTATTGGGCATTAAATCGATTCGCACCAGCATCTATCATCCACAAACAGATGGCCTGGTGGAACGATTTAATCGCACCATGATTCGGAAATTCATTCACAAAGATGCCAAAAATTGGGACAAATATCAGGAACCCTTCTTGTTCGCCATGCGTGAGGTCTCACAAACCTTCACGGGGTGCTCCCCCTTCAAGCTTCTTTATGGAAGTCAGCCCCGTCGGGTGTTGAACATCCTGAGAGAAATTTGGGAGGACGAACCTTCAGATAGCTGAAACGAAATTCAGTATGTGCTGGACCTGAGAACACAACTCCACATTTTGGGCAGCTCTCTATGAAGAATTTGTTACAGGCCCAGGACAAACAGACCCGGCTGTACAACAGGGTAACCAGACTATGCGAATTTGCACTGGGAGATAAGGTGCTTGTATTGCTTCTTACGTCTAGCTCTAAATTACTCGCCAAGTGGCAAGGACCCTTTGAGGTCACATGGTGAGTTGGGGATCTCAATTATGAGGTGGTTCGAACGGACAGAAGTGGGTGCATGTCTGGAACTGTGTCAGCAGGCTTTCACCCAGGTAAAGGCTGCTCTGTGTGGCAGATCGCTGTTATGCTTTCCTGATTTTTCTCTCCCATTTTGCTGGAGTCCTATCCCAGGAGTTAGAGGGAGAGGAACGGCCGGTGCTGTACATCAGTCGGAAGCTCTCTAAGAGAGAGACGAAGTACAGCACCATCGAAAAAGAATACTTGACTGATGGGAGTGGCTGACTTCCTCTCCAGGAATGGGTGGGTGTTCCCTGCCCTGAGTCAGGCTGTGGGGGTATGTGGCGGGTGGGGGGGGCATGGTTCAGCGAGGTCTGCAGCGGGAGAGAGGGACGGGAAAGGAGTGGTGAGTAAGCAGGTCAAGTGCAAAATGACAATTGCATGTGTCTCCTTGCAGTAATAGAGGGTATGCATTGACGTCACTTTCCCACCGGAACACGCCCCCTCAGCCAGACTGAGTGGAAAAATAACCTGCTGCATGACTGCATTTAATAGGGGAAACTGTGAAAATGCGAGTAAAACAAGCAATTATCAGTTTAATAAATAACTTGGGCTACTATCTGGCATATGCAGGTCACTGCTTAGCAGAGGTCTGCGCGGTACAATTTTTTTAGTCCCGCTCCCGCAAGGTTATATTCCGCACCCACCCGCTCCCGCTTTATATTCACTCTTTGTTCACCCGCTGTCCGCTTAGAATAATTTTCTTCCCGACCCGACTGTTCCTGCTAAATTTAGATCTCGTTTCCAGAATCTCACATTTAAATTTCCGCTACAGAAATAAAGAGATAGTCTGCACAAAATTGTCGGCTATGTTATTTTATTTGTCTTGTCAGGAGTCTTGAATTTATTGACTTTGACTT